ATATATATATATATATATATATATACAGAGAGAGAGAGAGAGAGAGAGATGCATGTATCAGGCCGTTAACAACATAAATACTACATTACCCAAGACATTTACATATTTACATTGATAACATTTAATGATAATAAAATGTTCTCAGAACATTATTCACAATATCAATGATAGATACGAATAGATAATTAGATAGATAGATAATTAGATAGATAGATAGATAGATAGATAGATAGATAGATAGATAGATAGATAGATAGATAGATTCGAATAGATAGATTGATGCGAACAGACTGATATACATATATATATATATATATAGATAGATAGATAGATAGATAGATAGATAGATAGATAGATAGATAGTCAGGGTAATATGAGCCATTTCCTTATATAATATATCTGTAGGATTGACAGATCATACATGCATACATACTTACATATGAACTGCAATAAGATAGATAGATAGATAGATAGATAGATAGATAGATAGATAGATAGATAGATTGAGACAGTTTCATTACAAGTCTCCCCCTCATCCGATATCAAGCAACTAAATTCGATATCAGGAGAAATCTCCCAAATGACTGACATGCATTGCATGTCCGTTCCTTGATGAATAAGAATTATTGTGAAAGGCAAAGGAAATGGGTTTTTCACCGTTTGTATCCAACAGACAAACTTCTCTAAATGACATACCTGTGTATATATAGTGACTCCCCTTTTCATCAAAAGTAATCCACCTTCTATTTAAAAGTTTCTTAAAAGCTAGTTGCGCAACTGATAAATATATTTGACCTGGCAGGTCATTTTATTCACTTGTCGCTAAAATCCTTTCCGAATACATTGAACTGAAAGTCGCTTGATATTTCCGGCTTTCTATCGTCATCCCTCGAAAAAAACCAGCAGGGGTCGTAAGCACTGGGGTTAATACGCACAATTTCCTTTACGATATCCACCTGAAATTATGAAACGATTAAAAGATCTTTTGTGGGGCGCTCTCTTTAATGGAACATGTATCAGAGAGTGTTTGCTACCTAAATACACCCGTGTGCAAATTAACTGAAACAATCGCTTTAGTTTACTTTTCTTTTACCATATGGTCAGCTTTAGACCCACTGGAAGGACAGGGTGTAACTTATTTCTATTTTTTCCTCGGATAAGTCGTTTGCAGTGGTGTGCAGTAATAGAAATCTATTTTCGGCGTGTATGATGGATTTTGCTTGGCCTTGAAAAATATTGCGTCATCTGCGATTGCATCAGAATTTTATCACGCCCAGACACTATTGTCTCGATTGTCGATTAGTTATCCTACTGTCATTGTCTGCAATCGACGTTACTCCAAGGAGGCGTACGAAAACTGTAACGCTACACAAACGCACTGACAATCATTACCAGTGATTATATCAAACTACGGATCTGAAAACTGTCTTGATTTAAATCCAATCGTGGAATAGACATACGAAGTACTGACATGTGCACTGGGTCACGTTTCATTGGAAAATACGAAAAACAAGTAAATAATAACCGAATTATTCGTTTCCTTTTAATTAATTTGCACAAGGGTGTCTGTCATGTTTAAATGTGCACATGAGTATATGACAAGTTTATTTTTGAAGAAATATTTTCTTTTGGATAATGACAATTTCTGCGTTCTTGAAATATGCAAACACAAATAATGTACAGAATCTATCAGAATGTTGCCGACATCTGTATTTTTTTTTAATTTTCATGAATATCTGAGTTGATTGACGGAGGTAGGTCATATAAGATCTATATGGGGTAGGTTGGTGAGCAGAAGGAAATCGAGGAACAGAGAAACGAACAATACATTCTGCCGTTCACAATATCGACTTGGATACAGAAAATATAGTATCAGTCTATATTTCTGACATGAGACATTATGTACACTATTTACATTATTCGGACTATTGTCCTCATCTTTGTCGCCATATTTATTATAACGTTTGGGCCCTTCCGTATCTGTCTATATTTCTGACATGAGGTATTATGTACACTATTTACATTATTCGGACTATTGTCCTCATCTTTGTCGCCATATTTATTATAACGTTTGGGCCCTTCCGTATCTGTCTATATTTCTGACATGAGGTATTATGTACACTATTTACATTATTCGGACTATTGTCCTCATCTTTGTCGCCATATTTATTATAACGTTTGGGCCCTTCCGTATCTGTCTATATTTCTGACATGAGGTATTATGTACACTATTTACATTATTCGGACTATTGTCCTCATCTTTGTCGCCATATTTATTATAACGTTTGGGCCCTTCCGTATCAGTCTATATTTCTGAGATGAGGTATTATGTACACTATTTACATTATTCTGACTATTGTCCTCATCTTTGTCGCCATATTTATTATAACGTTTGGGCCCTTCCGTATCTGTCTATATTTCTGACATGAGGTATTATGTACACTATTTACATTATTCGGACTATTGTCCTCATCTTTGTCGCCATATTTATTACAACGTTTCGGCCCTTCCGTATCTGTCTATATTTCTGAGGATGAGGTATTATGTACACTATTTACATTATTTGTACTATTGTCCTCATCTTTGTCGCCATATTTATTATAACGTTTGGGCCCTTCCGTATCTGTCTATATTTCTGACATGAGGTATTATGTACACTATTTACATTATTCGGACTATTGTCCTCATCTTTGTCGCCATATTTATTATAACGTTTTGGGCCCTTCCGTATCTGTCTATATTTCTGACATGAGGTATTATGTACACTATTTACATTATTTGTACTATTGTCCTCATCTTTGTCGCCATATTTATTATAACGTTTGGGCCCTTCCGTATCTGTCTATATTTCTGACATGAGACATTATGTACACTATTTACATTATTTGTACTATTGTCCTCATCTTTGTCGCCATATTTATTATAACGTTTGGGCCCTTCCGTATCTGTCTATATTTCTGACATGAGGTATTATGTACACTATTTACATTATTCGGACTATTGCCCTCATCTTTGTCGCCATATTTATTATAACGTTTGGGCCCTTCCGTATCTGTCTATATTTCTGACATGAGGTATTATGTATACTATTTACATTATTCGGACTATTGTCCTCATCTTTGTCGCCATATTTATTATAACGTTTGGGCCCTTCCGTATCTGTCTATATTTCTGACATGAGGTATTATGTACACTATTTACATTATTCGGACTATTGTCCTCATCTTTGTCGCCATATTTATTATAACGTTTGGGCCCTTCCGTATCTGTCTATATTTCTGACATGAGGTATTATGTACACTATTTACATTATTCGGACTATTGTCCTCATCTTTGTCGCCATATTTATTATAACGTTTGGGCCCTTCCGTATCTGTCTATATTTCTGACATGAGGTATTATGTACACTATTTACATTATTCGGACTATTGTCCTCATCTTTGTCGCCATATTTATTATAACGTTTGGGGCCCTTCCGTATCTGTCTATATTTCTGACATGAGGTATTATGTACACTATTTACATTATTCGGACTATTGTCCTCATCTTTGTCGCCATATTTATTATAACGTTTGGGCCCTTCCGTATCTGTCTATATTTCTGACATGAGGTATTATGTACACTATTTACATTATTCGGACTATTGTCCTCATCTTTGTCGCCATATTTATTACAACGTTTGGGCCCTTCCGTATCTGTCTATATTTCTGAGGATGAGGTATTATGTACACTATTTACATTATTTGTACTATTGTCCTCATCTTTGTCGCCATATTTATTATAACGTTTGGGCCCTTCCGTATCTGTCTATATTTCTGACATGAGGTATTATGTACACTATTTACATTATTCGGACTATTGTCCTCATCTTTGTCGCCATATTTATTATAACGTTTGGGCCCTTCCGTATCTGTCTATATTTCTGACATGAGGTATTATGTACACTATTTACATTATTCGGACTATTGTCCTCATCTTTGTCGCCATATTTATTATAACGTTTGGGCCCTTCCGTATCTGTCTATATTTCTGACATGAGGTATTATGTACACTATTTTTACATTATTCGGACTATTGTCCTCATCTTTGTCGCCATATTTATTATAACGTTTGGGCCCTTCCGTATCTGTCTATATTTCTGACATGAGGTATTATGTACATTATTTACATTATTCGGACTATTGTCCTCATCTTTGTCGCCATATTTATTATAACGTTTGGGCCCTTCCGTATCTGTCTATATTTCTGACATGAGGTATTATGTACACTATTTACATTATTCGGACTATTGTCCTCATCTTTGTCGCCATATTATTTAACGTTTGGGCCCTTCCGTATCTGTCTATATTTTTGAGACATTATGTACACTATTTACCCTATTGTCCTCATCTTTGTCGCCATATTTTTATAACGTTTGGGCCCTTCCGTATCTGTCTATATTTCTGACATGACTATTATGTACACTATTTACATTATTCGGACTATTGTCCTCATCTTTGTCGCCATATTTATTATAACGTTTGGGCCCTTCCGTATCTGTCTATATTTCTGACATGAGGTATTATGTACACTATTTACATTATTCGGACTATTGTCCTCATCTTTGTCGCCATATTTATTACAACGTTTCGGCCCTTCCGTATCTGTCTATATTTCTGAGGATGAGGTATTATGTACACTATTTACATTATTTGTACTATTGTCCTCATCTTTGTCGCCATATTTATTATAACGTTTGGGCCCTTCCGTATCTGTCTATATTTCTGACATGAGGTATTATGTACACTATTTACATTATTCGGACTATTGTCCTCATCTTTGTCGCCATATTTATTATAACGTTTGGGCCCTTCCGTATCTGTCTATATTTCTGACATGAGGTATTATGTACACTATTTACATTATTCGGACTATTGTCCTCATCTTTGTCGCCATATTTATTACAACGTTTCGGCCCTTCCGTATCTGTCTATATTTCTGAGGATGAGGTATTATGTACACTATTTACATTATTCGGACTATTGTCCTCATCTTTGTCGCCATATTTATTACAACGTTTCGGCCTTTCAGTATCAGTCTATATTTCTGAGATGAGGTATTATGTACACTATTTACATTATTTGTACTATTGTCCTCATCTTTGTCGCCATATTTATTATAACGTTTGGGCCCTTCCGTATCTGTCTATATTTCTGACATGAGGTATTATGTACACTATTTACATTATTCGGACTATTGTCCTCATCTTTGTCGCCATATTTATTACAACGTTTCGGCCCTTCCGTATCTGTCTATATTTCTGAGGATGAGGTATTATGTACACTATTTACATTATTTGTACTATTGTCCTCATCTTTGTCGCCATATTTATTATAACGTTTGTGCCCTTCCGTATCTGTCTATATTTCTGACATGAGGTATTATGTACACTATTTACATTATTCGGACTATTGTCCTCATCTTTGTCGCCATATTTATTATAACGTTTGGGCCCTTCCGTATCTGTCTATATTTCTGA